TTTTTTTTTTTTTTTTTTTTTTTTTTTAATTCAGTCGAGCAGAAAAACGGTGATGATTTACAAGCATCTCGTCAAGCGCCTGTCTGAACCGTATCAACAACATTAGGTATCTCTTAATCCGTGTCTCGTTAAGTCGTGCATTATCACTCGAGAAGAAATTCTAGCGTAGGAAAGCGTTTCACTGAGATCTCTCGTCGTTTAACGGTCACGTGGCCGCTTGCACGGTTTATCTTAGCGAGTGAAATGTTTTCCCAGATACGCTAATCCGAACGAGGTAACGAGATTAACAAGGCCTAAACAGAGACGAGAGATTATCTCTTTCTTTTTCAAGAGGGCAGAGAGGAGATTTCGTCCGATACGGGTCAGACAAGCCCGAACGGTTTCCGATACAAACGAACAAGGGAGTGGTTCGAACGACTAGGGTAGTACTTGGTACAGCGGTTTTTTAAATTACATTAGCCCCCGACCCCCAGGGCGTAACATTTGCCGTGTCTGGTAATCCGTTTCGCCGGCGGATTTGCATAAACGCTAGCTCCGCGTATTTAAATGCATTCACCTTGATATAGGTTCGCGCTGCAGACCGGCAGAAAAATAACCCTCGAGCTGCCGCCGTTCGCAGAGGTCCTTGATAACGCCGTTAAACAGATCGTCCACTCTGACGAGAGTGAACCCGAAGTTTCGCCGTGGCTCCATCTCGAAATACTTGGACACCCCTTTGTACACGTACAGTTGCAGATCCACGCCGGACATTCTGCTGCGGAGCATGGCCTCTGGCACGGAGAACAGCACCGATCTGCCACCGTGGAACTGCTCGTTCTCGTAATTCGAGCCCCGGTACGAACGATAGTCCCGTCGGTTCGGCGACAACGTTGTCCATTCGTCGTCCAGCATTCGAAACATTATGACGGTCTTCTTCATGAGCGCGACGTCGAACACGTCGGTCCATGGCATGTACAGCTGCTCCATGGTTTCGACATGTTCGAAAATTTAGTCCGGGGGGTAATATCGTACCGAGAATCGAGAATGTAGGTCAAGTG